ATTTTCCAAGGGAAAATCGTCGAACTCACTTTTGTGATTGAATCATCAATTCAAGCCAAACATTAATCAAATAGGAACAATTTCACTCAAAGTATACCTAGACACAGGAGAACTATTGTCGTGAAAGTGTTGTACAGTCGATTACGAATTTAGATTGCAGAGAGTTTGTTCTGAGCGCTAAAGGCACTCACGATAGAGCACATTTTGCTTTATTCTAACACTTCATGACGCCCAATACTCTGCCCACACTGCCTTGGCCCCCGATAGCACCGACCCACCCGAGGACATCCACTGGCCCAGTGGGGACGGAGTGTTCACCAAAGTCAAAAAGTTCTTCCCCATCTACCCTGGTGCCAACATCCCACCAAGCCTTAAGCTATCCACCGCCCCACCAGCCAATCTGGACTCCTTCCACCCCCAATTCCGGCTCTGGTACGAGGCAATGAAGTACCTTCACGATCACAATGAGTCCCAGAGCATCCATTCCCACGCCCACATCTTCAGCGCCGATACCATACCAACCGATCGATTTCCAGACAGCGACCTAGCTACGCATCTGACATATTCCCCATCCACCGTCAGTGCATTTGCAGCTGAAGTCCCCACCTACAAAGCCCTCTTCGAAGAATTCAAACGGCACTCGGCCCTCTCTACTTTAGCCTCTACTAATCATGTCACTACCCAAGAAGCTCCAGCAGCCCCCCTTCCAGCAGGGGCCCCATTCGATAGCGAACTTTTTGCCCAGATCATGGCCAACGCTCTCAAAGGCGCCAATGCCAGCACCAAGGAAAAAGATCTGGCCCGCACTTCAGCCAGTGCCAAAGACTCTTTCAGCTTGATTTTTGGCCGAGTCAAACCGGTCATCCAGCTTGACGGCTCCACTGTCAACGAATTCCACCCATCCGTCCTCACTGACGACTTTGCCACATTCTTGGAAATCGGTTCGATCAAAGAGGCCCTACGCCACCTCCATGACACCTTTGCCCACATCACCGATACCCTCACCACTCGGAACAACTACGACCGCAACGTCGACTTTGATATTGCCCTCTTCCAACACGCTACAGTCACTGCCCTCAAAACATGCAGCTTTGCAGTTCGCCCCCTCACCATGCACCCCCACGAAGCCACCTCACTTCTCAGCCTCCTAGCTTGGCTCCCACCAAACAAAAATGATGTCAGGTACACCACTTTCCTCGCGGAAGGCCGAGACATAATCCGCCAGGAAGCCATGGAAGAAGACAAGTCCAAGCAAGCCGCGAAAAAGACAGACATCTTTGTTCATGGCGACGTCAGTTCTGTCGAAGCTCTGATCAAGATGTTAGCGAATTTCTTTGCCTTTGTCAAATACTGTGTCAAAGACTTTACCTTCGATGACCCCCCGTTAATTGTCACACTCTTGGAGGATTTCATGAACGCCCTCCACACACCTGCTGCCAAAGATTGGATCCGTTACAATGCCGCAGTCCCACACCTCCCATTGTGTCTCCTCCTCGAAATGAACCAGATCTTGCAGATTGTTGTGGGAGCCGCCAAAAACAAAACGACCCAGAGTAAACTTCGTAATGGCCAACCGATCATGGCAGACACGTTCGTGAACGCTTTCCGTGGAGTCACACAAGCCATCAGCCACATCAATCTCTCCATCAGTATGGGCAACCTTGGCCCGTACGGCACATGCCCCAACCTGCATGCTATTCTCCATGGAAAACCAACCCCCGCTCCCAAACGTGAGAGCCCCAATTCCCGTGAACGGCCTGACCCAACCAAACGCGCAAAGCACCCACCTCAAGGAACTCATCCCGGATACCTGACGTATGACGGCCCAGGCCGACTTCCAATTGCCCCTTTCAAATGTAAACACCCCATCACCGGCAAACAGGCAGCCTTCTGTTCCCATTTCCTATTTGCCAACTACCATTGCAACCGCCCCCGCTGCCACAATATCCACTACACCAAACAGTTTGCAGCAACTATGGGATCTGCCGACACCCAGGCATTTGAAAAATTCATTGAAAAAACCCCTGGGGTAACCCGTTCGGCCCCAAAGCCTCATGGTTAGTTCCGCCAACTCCATTACTTAAATACCATTCAACCCGTCAGTGACTTACTTTCCACTTCCTTTCTGTGCATTCCCCCCACACCCACTCCAAGTCCCTGAGTGCTCTACATGCATCATCCCTCACCCAAGCAGCCTCGTTTACCAACCCACCCAGACACCAATGTCGAACCAACCCAAACTGCCCCAAATTTCCATCTCCACCCCTCCACCGAGCCAACCTTCCGCAGCGCCCTCAGCACACCACCGATCCGCCCAGCCTCCCGATTCCCAGTACTACCAATTCACTGACGCAGAGCAAGAAAAATTTGGAGAGCTCCTTGAAGTCTCCGTCCAAGGTCGTTCGTCTACCCCATCCATGACCAAACGCGACCGCGAGGCCCGGGCAGCCACCAAACTCCCATCCCCGGTTTTTCTTGCCGTCAATTCTCCGCATGGTAAGGACAGCGTGGACAGGTGGTTCAGTACAGAGCATAAGTCTGAACATACCTGGATATTTTTGCTGAAGAGCCGCTACCTGAGCCAGACCGACCTTGCAACCCTCTTCCACGTGTGCCCATCCATCCATCTCCTCTCCCTTCTCATCCAAGAACACCGCTTTGTGGACTTCCGACCCCTCCAACAACCCATACCACCGAATCTGACCCCCAGCGTTGCCATGCATCGATGGAGCCGCATGTTCACCGCATGCTTACTCCATTTGACCTCAGCATCCCAACCGCAGTCCGCTTTGTTGGCAACATCCACACCGGTGCCCATCGCGACTGGCCCACCATCGAACCCATTCTCCGTGAAGCCAATGTTGACCCCTTCCTCATCACCCAGCTCAAACGCGTCTTCCTCGATGGCGCCCCCAATTACGTCAATGCGGAATCGACCGATGAGAACCTGCGCACCTTCATCGCCTACGGTAATCACAAGACGGTTTACGACAACGTGAGCAAAACACAAAGCGCAGTCGAAAAAGACATCCTCCGCAACTACCTTCTGGCAGCCAACCCAGCCCTACTTCCATACATCCGAGACGCCCACACTACTCCACTCGGGTTGGTTGATGCATGTCACGAATATTGCAAACCCCGTATCATCTTTGATGCCACCCACCATCCTTCCCTGACAGCCATGGCAGTTAACGATTTCACTTCTAAAGAAACTGAACCCGAAATCTGCTTCCCGAGGTCATTTCCCAACTTCTTGATCTGGATCTACAACCTTCGCATCACCTACCCAAAAGAGGAAATCTACATTTGCAACAATGATGTATCTGGCGCCTTCCGCCATGTCAAATGGAACCCAAATGTTGTTGGCATGCACATGTTCATGCTATTTGGATTCCTTTTCTTCTGTACGGGTCTCTCATTTGGCGACAACACCAGCCCAGCCCAATGGGAAGTCGTCGCCATGGTCCGCCAGCAGCTTGCCCAATCCCTTTGGTATGCTGCAGTAACCACCATCCCACGAGTCGCAAAATACCTCCCCAAGCTATCCCTTGCTCCCCTTCCAACGACATCAGACATTGCCGCTTTCATTCCTGCCGAACCCGACTCTCAGAATCCAGGGGTTTTACACGCAGACGGATCCCGCAAGTCCCCGACCTTTGATCACCATGTTGACGATTGGCTCTACGCCGACGTGGCCCTATTCTTGCGCCAAACCATTTCCGCCAGCGTCCTTGCCCTATACATCCTATTGGGATTCCCTAACCCATCCAACGGGATCCGCGATTGCATATCTTGGGGAAAATTTGCCAACACTTTCTCCCACGAACGCAAAACAGTTGGATGGCTCATCAACTTGAGACGAATGTATATATATATATAACTGAATCATTAATTGGTATTATGCTACTTCTAGAGTATCCAACTGCCGGTGTAATACGGCTGTAGAGGCCAGGAACTAGGTTGCTTTTGGTCAACAAAGTTTGAACCACGTGG